ATTTTCAAAGTATATTTAAAAAATCCATCCCATCATTCACATAAATAAACACAGGCCACTGTCTTTCAAAACTAAACAAATTCAGACTTCTCCATTTGACAATTAATATAGATCATGTAAGGCTATGACCATTATCACAGTGTATATAAACATGCTAGAGTAAGGCTGGTCCATAACTTAACTCCTGAAAGTAGGATCTTGTGAAGTAAAGGCCATGTGCTGTTCTGAACTTAATTCAAGTTCAGTACTAAACTTAAGATAATATTAAAGAATAATAGCAGATAACATTATTACAGCTACTCCTCTGTTAGGCCATGCTTTTCAAAGCAAATAAACTATGTTTTCCATTAAATAACTGGAGAAAGGTATGGGCACCCATGTTTATACATGCATATCCCCTTTCATGCAGGGGTAGCTAGATACCAATTATTAGCATGCACACATGCAAGTGCAGGCCAGTTTCGCAGGCACATTATCAGAAGCTGGTCGAACAGCTGAAATATCCGGTGTGCGTGCCTCTGAAGTATTTATCATTCATCTGGGACTGCAACCAGTCCAAACAGATAAAACAGCTGATCTAGGGTAACACTGTACTATTATTCTTTTAGCTAGTCAGTTGTTTGTGGCAAATCTATTGACAACTGAGCCCTGGGATGAAGCATGGTTACACAGGCCTTTTATCTTATCAGCGAGGCCTTAGCACAGAGCATAACTGCTGTTACAGCAAATTATTTTATCACAAAAAAGCTGTATAATTGAGATATTTAATTTTCTCTTTTGCCACATCCTTAGGGGCTGTTTCTCTCCACTTTCACTGCACTTGTCTGCCAGGCTAAGATCTGCGAAAGTGCAGAAAAACTCGTGTGGAAATAAAAAAAAAAAAAGACCTCATAATTCCAGTCACCTCAAAGGTCACTGGGAGTTCCACCATTGCAATGTTCTGAGTAATAACAATTGTAAAATGAATGTGAGGGGCAAAAGCCATAAAAGTGAACAGCATACTTCACTGACATTTACTGTGGTGGCTATCACTGCTGAACTCTGAAGGTGATTCTGGGAAGTAAAAAAGAAGTACTGCCAAAGACTGACAGGGTTTTATACACTTTAGAAAACACTATATACGACAGACTGAGTACTGATCCCAATGGGGTATGATACCTGTGGCTTGGCATTGTATGCCACTATCAGTCACTTTTTAAAACCTGAACTTGTGTGCCTCACATGCTCAGTTCCAACCAGGGCAATTCTAGCAGCCAAATTAGACAGTGGTGGGAAGGGAGTAGTCTGATTATGGCAGGGGAAGGCAAAAAAAAAGGTAATCAGGCCACATCTGGCCTGCCAGGCCATTCTATCTGGCCCACAGGGCCCCTAATATTTTTGGAAAATTAACTTTTATCTGTCCCTGGCTGCTGTCCCTGGCCTGTCAGAGGTGACCAGTGCCAGAGGTGGCAGGACCCAGTCACTGAGCAGCAAGGCCTGCCCAGCTCCACCCTGCCCCCAGCCTGCCACTCCCAATCCCACCTCCAGCCCCCAACCAGAAGCCTCTGTGGCTTCTGGCTTGGTGACCATGGGGCTGTTCCCTGCCCCCCTCCATCTGAGTGAAAAGGAAACATCTGTGATCTGCCCAGCAGCCAGGAACTGCAAGGTATTGGCAGGCTGGGCTGACACCAGAGTGGGCGAGGGGAGGGGGATGGAAGGAAGTGGTGGTGGCACAGGGAGCATCAGGGGAGGCACATTCAGTGGCAGGGAGTGACAGAGGGGCAGTGGCAGTGCGGGGAGCAGCAGGGGCCACAGGAAGTGGTGGAGGTGTGGGGAGCAGCAGGGGGATTATGGGAAGCAGCAGGAGTGAGGGGAGTGGCAGAAAGTGGCAGCAGCGTGTGGAGTGACAGTGGAAGTGGTGACAGCATGGGAAGTGGCAGAGGAGACATGGAAAGTGGAAGTGGCACAGGGAACAGAGGGGGCAGCAGCAGGGGGGCCATGGAAAATGGAAGGGAGTGGTGGAGGGGTTGGGGGAAGTGGCAGCAGCAGGGGGAGTGGCACTGGGGGCACAGAAAGGAAAGCGGTGGGGAGTGACGACGGTGGGGGCAGTGGTGGTGGGTGGGAAGCAGTGGCAGACAGTCGTGCAGGAGGGAAACCAGGGAAACGGTGGGGGAGTGGTGGTGGTGGGTGGGAGTATGGAGCCTGTGTTCATGCCTTGGGGCCAGTGGGGACCCAGAGTGCAATGGCAGGAGTGCAGAGCCTGGATGTGGGGTCTGCTTACCTGCATGGTGTGAGGCTCGCATGCTTTCAGCAAAAGTTGTACACAATGGAGCCAGTGGCCTGGCCCGTCTCTCTCTCTTTCTCTCTCTCTCACCCCACCCACCATAACCCCATACCCTCCCATAGCCCCCATCCCAACCACATACCCCACACCCATCCGCACCTACCCACCAGACCCTCACCCCACCACACACCCCAACCACACCCCACCACATACTCCCTTACTGTCCACACACAATATACAGTAGGATTGTATTTTGAGCTATTATGTTATCACTTCTAGATACACTTTACAAACATATAAATCAGTACAAAAATATTTTTAAATAAAATTTTAAAAAGTTATAAATTATATTAGATTTTTTTTTTTTTTGTATATGATTTGGGGTTTTTATCTGGTTTCAGGATTGCAGCACCCTCCCTCCCAAAAGGAGTACTTCCAGGGCACAGTGAGGGACTTCCAGTGGCAAAGGTTAGGGGTTAGGGGGCAGGATATCAGGTCCCAATATAGCAATCAGGCGTGGGGCAACTGTCAAGGAGTGGGGCTACCCATGTCAACCTTGACAGCTCACCAAAACTCCATAATTGCCCAGCCCAGGATTAGGGGCTCACCCACTGATATTGGCCAGGTGATACAGCACATTAACTAGAATGCCTTGACTTAAGTATACAGAAAGAAGGCAGCTGAAGTGCAATTCTTTCTGAATACTTATGGGGAGGAAGGGCTGTGGGCATGGACAAGGACAGGGACACAATATATATTATTTCCTTCTAGATTCAGGAAGCCATAATGGATAACATAAAAACAAAACAAAATGACTTGAGTGCATAGACTGCAACCCAGGCAGAATGTAGGCAGTTAAGTCCAGGGCAGCAAACCACAACCCACTGTCGCAAAGCTAAGAATTCCAGTTTATGTTTCCTGCTTAATACCACTTGGGATCCACAAAAGAGATATCCCTCTATCTAGGTCCCCTGAGGAGCCTGTTTCAGTGGGTCTGCTCTGAACAGGCTTTGCATGCCCTTACAGGAAGGAGCTCAGTACAAAGCACAGCATGCACAACCATTTTCATTTAAAAATTAGCCAACAGAAGACAAGGAGAAAGTAGTGGTGTCACCCACCATTTAAATAACAGCATAGGGCACCTATACATGTGCAGCAAGGCTGCTCCAATGCGCTGTAATTACCATGATGCAGCAGACACCAGCACCATGTGTATCAGTGTCCCTGTTCTGAAAAATGATGGCAGAGGCACTTTAACTAAAGATCATTTAACAAGCTTTACTTAACGTGCCCCATCACAATTTTTCAGCGTGGGGATGCTGATACATATGATGCTTCAGGCGCTTTAATTAGAGCATCTCAGAGCCACTCCAATTAAAGCCTTCCTCTCCCCACTCCCGAAGCATGTCTATAAATGCCCTTACTGACTAGAGAACTTGTTTCAGGGGGGAGTTTTGGATTATGGTTCCTGCTCCAGAGACTGCACATGCATTTTGCATTAAAAAGTCATTAGATAAAATCCCTAAGCAGCATTGAGAGCATGAACCAGAACCCAGATTTCCTCCTTCTCAGGAGAAAGCCGTTAGCTACATAATCATGTTACTTCTTGCTTTCTCCCTGGCTTCACAAATCTTGCATTCTTGGCTGCACGGTGGAACAGCTTCAACCGGAGAGGTGGAGAGTACCAGTCTTACTTTCAGCACAGTAGGTAGAAGATTTAATTCCCCTTAGACATACAGTGGAGACCCTTCTATTTCTTGGGTGAATTCATTAAGCACTAGACAATTACATAAATGATGGGAAATGCAGTACCACCACCACCATTTTAGAAGAAAACAGTAAGTATATGTACCCAAAGGACTTATTTGGCTGCCTATGGTTTCAGCGTGTGAGTCCCATTCTCACATAACCTCACATAGGTGCCTAACTCAGGATTAAACAACCTGATTCTAGTAAAGGGGAGGGAATTAAGACACACACTTCTCTTTGCTATTTCTGCTGATTGGGTCAGCATGTTGGCTGTTAAAAATTCCATCCTTAGGCACTTAACCTTCCCTTTTCATTATATAGGGAACTGGAGGGCCTAGTCAGGGTGGTGGATTGAACTTCTGGTGCCAGGGGCATAAAGCTTAGGTACACTTAGCATCGCCACAAACAAGTCCCTTTGTGCATCTGAACCAAAATGCTTACAGTTGTGAACAACACCCCCACAAAACCCCCAAGGGCTCAGAATACAAGGGCAATGGAAGGTTCAGAAAAGATTAAGCTTTCAGGTCCAGATTTTCCAAGTTGCTCAGCAGTCAGCAGTTCCCACTGAGAATAGGAGCAACATACTTTTCAAAATCTGGTGCTTACCACATTAGTTATGTCAGTGAAGTAACATGTTTGCAGCACTGCTGTTTCTATACATAGATTTTATAACTATACACAGAGGTCCCAATTTAGGAATGCATTCCTAGTCAGTAAACCACTTAAGCAATGTGCTTATCTTTGAAAATGGAACTTACAATAGGATTTAAACTCCAGTTCCAGCACTGAACTGAAGCTAGAAACAGCACTGTTTTTCTCCCTTTTTACATCCAAAAGCTGTCTCCTGGTTGGGTAACTGCGTTTCTTGCGATGGAAAGATATCAGTCATTGGCCAACATGTTACTCAATGTAAACACAAGATATGAGAAATTTGTTTGGATGTCACCAGTTATCAGCAGCAGATGCTTAATACTGATTGTAAGTACATCTTAATGAAGTAAATGCACCCAAAGGCATAGGCAATGGGCACATGATGTAAATATAAATATAATTAACTTAAATGGCAATTACCCATACTGCAACTATCAGAAATGCCCCGTTAATTTAAATAGCACCATGCCCCTGATGTCTATCACATAAGATGTCAACTATAGGAAACCATCATTAGAAATTTTGCACACAATTCACTGCAGTTACAGGAAATACAAATATAAGCTCAATATGTGTACGTAGTAGCTGTACTAACACATTCAACACTATGAATAAGCAAAAGACGTATAAAGCACAGTAAATAGTACTGGATGGATATGTTGTCATTCCAAGTAGGACCTGGCTGGCTAGAGGACCCAAGGTGCTAAATCTACAACATCAGATCATAATGAACAGAATTACAGTTACCCAGTAGTGTATTTCCATCTCAAACTCCAAATTATTCAAATACAAAGTCCTGGGAGTAGATGAATATTGTTCATGAGAGTATTTAATTTGCTTGAAGAAGAAAAGTAGATGAGATACAGCTGGACTCATTAAAGGATGTGAAGTTTCTTACAATGTTTAAAAGGGATTTTAAAATTGTATTTCACTCATAGAAGAGGCCAGGCCAATGGGAAAAACTTGGTTCCACGCATGGGGAATTAGGAAATCAGATTAGTCCAAATTAGATATGATGGGGCGAGGGAGGGCAAGAGATGGAATGTAACCATCTTGCACAGCAAAATAGACTTGTACTAAAGTCTACAATCCACAGTGAGTCCAATGCTTTGAAAATAATACCAAGATATAATTTAAGATCATTTAATGGACTTGAATGTATTTGCATTCCTATGAAGAGAGAGCTTTAGGGTATTTTTTCCACTAAATGAATATTGCACTATTGTAGGGTTTTTATTTTTTAGATTAACTGTTTAGATAAGGATTGGCAATCTACAGCCTGCAGATCAGATTCAGCCCATGGAACCATTGGGTCTGGGCCATGAACCTGGGGCTTCAGCAGAATTCAGCAGCAGAGGCTTAATCTGCACCACTGCTGCGCTTTGCTGCATGCAGAGAAATACTGACAGCAGCAGTGGCAATGACCAGGTCCTAGGGCTTAGGGCTATGTGACGCTTTGGTCCCTGATTTGATTCGGTGGAAATTCGGCCCAATTTGGTGGCCAAATCTGTGAATATGAATCAAGTCAGAGGATCCTTCAACCTTTCTGAATCTAACTGAAACCCTCCAAATCAATTTGGAAAGATTCAGCGATTCAGACATACAGACAACTTTAAATGTTTTTTCTACATACCTCTAGGTAGCAGAGGCTCATTAATGTTGCAATGCTGAGGTGCATGGAGCGTCCCACAAAAGCACAGGTGGCTCCCTAGTGCGCTTGGCAGCAGACCCAGAAGTGGACTAGAAGCATTTCCGGTCTACTTTTGGGTCCACCGGGGAGCACATGGGGGCCTCCCGCACCCTACCAGCTCAGTGACTGGTGCCTCCTGGGTCTTGGGGGGGCACCCAGGGTCCCCCTGTGGTCAATCACCAATCAAGGGAGGTGGGGGGGGGAAGCATGCTCCCCAGCAGACCCAGAAGTGGACCGGAACTACTTCCAGTCCATTTCTGGGTTCACTGCCAAGCATGTGGAGGACCCCCCTGCGCTCCTGTGGGATGCTCCATGTGTCCCAGCATCACAGCGATCATGAGCACTGCCTACTACCTCAAGGTATGTAGAAAAAACTTTTAAAGCTGTGTCAATATCTGAATCACTGATACCTGAATCAGCATCGAATCTTCAGATTCAGATTTGGCTGAATCGAATCAGGGACAGTGATCCAAGTCAACAATTTGAATCATTGTTCCTGATTCAGGCCGAATCTGAATCTGAATCCAAATCAAATACGACCCGCTTTGCACACTCCTACTAGGGCTGGCACACCTCAGTTGAACCAAACCAAGCCATTCCAGCTCACCACTAGAAAATTTGGCTGACTGCTGGTTTATGATACTAGCAGAAACTTTACATTCTTCTCTTTCAATGGTATGATTCAGAGTTAACAGGTAATCCGAGCTTTATATGCCTTTAACAACAGATAGAGCTCCAGGCAAACACCTTTTCACTAGCTGCAGATTCTTAGCAGTTTTGCCATTTGCACAACTTGCAGAATGATATATTTATTCAAGGCTGATTGTCTTTACTCAGTAAGCATTTTGGAAAGATATGTGAAGATGTTTCAGAGATGACTGAGTTGTGTGAATTGCTTCTTTCGCCCACAAAACCTGATATAGTATGTTGCCATAGAAAGAAAAAGAACGTGCTTACGGCAAGGATGGGCAAGGACTCTGACTTCATCCACAGCTATGTACCCTGGATGTCCTTTCAAAGAGACAGATTCAAATATCACCTGAAATAAAGAACAAGAGAAGCTTTTCTTACAAACAGTAACCACAACAGCCTTTTTTCTGTTTGCCTCCTCCCACAACTAGTCCTGTTCCTGGCATCAGTTTTGTCAGTATATATGCATTATCCAGAGGTCTGATCCACTAGTCAGACTGAATCTCAACTCCATTTTTGTATGGAGACTGCTTGAGCCTTATGACAACTTAACTAATGTTCTTCTGAGAAATGGGGAAGCCTTTGTCAATCTTCCACTGAGAGTAAAGAGACACCTGAATGTGGTTCTCATGCCTAACTGAGGACTATGCTGGGAAAGCAGAAGTGGAGAATATACTGCATTCAGGAGACATTTGACACCATGAATTTAATATGCCTCAGAGCTGCGAATGCATAAATTGTCTATGAGCCAAATTCCCACATGTAGCCATCATGGAGGAAGTAACTTGATTTAGCATGTATGCAATCACTATACTGTAAGAAAATTATAAACTGCAGCAACAAATCCTGATCTGTAGTTACTGGATTACAAAATAAATCTCCCCCACAGATTAGAACAGCGTGTTTTCTGTCCTCCCTGGATCAAACTGTTGGCACAATTAGCTATTTTAAAAGGCCATATATATGCGCTTTGGGTGAAATTCTATTACCAACTGGCTGTCTAATGGCCCACTAGTTGGACAGCCAAGACAAGGGCTGTATAATTTCAATCAGTCAGGGGTCACACTCCATGTAGGCTCCACCAGTGGCATCCATGGACCACATGACCCCCACTTCCCTATGCCATAGGGCCTCCTTCAGAACTGCATGTGCCCTGCTGGCACACCAGCCACAACCCCTAGGTGTCACAGGCAGATACCCCCTGGAACGGGGTCAGGAAGCAAAAGCCATAGGAGGGAGGGGAAGCCCAGAGACCCTGGGTTCTGCTGCAGCTGGAGAAATGGTGGCCAGGTGTGAGCCCAGAAGCCACAAATTAACCCCCTGCAGGCCACAAGTTGGACACCTCTGGCTTAGATAACTGAATGGAAATAGTATCTAGATCAACAATGGTAGTAGACTGTCACCTTGAATGCAATTGTTCCCAAGCAATTTGGGGCCTCATAAACAAACATTAAGGGCGCTTGTACATAAGCACAGAGGCTGCTCTGACACACTGTAATTACAGCACATCAGAGCAGACTCATTTAATCAGGTCTTCTGGAGTGTGGCAATTACCACGCTCTGGCAGCCTCCTGCGTCTTGCATATCAGTGTCCCCGTGTTTCCAAATGGCAATGTGGGGGCACTCAAACAACCTTTAATTCAAGCATCCCCAGTGCCATTTTGAAGCACAGGGATGCTGATACATGAGACGCTGTGGCATTTTAATTAGAGTGGCGCCCCCCATCCCCCAACTTCTGGACCACGTGTAAAAGTGTCTTAAGTTATAGAATAGAACAATAATGGCTTTCTTCTGTAACTTGGAAGTTGTACCTGGGATGCTGCCCCCAGTTCCTTCCAAAGCAATGGAGACAAACTAGAAAACATCCTGCGGGAAGCATTAAAAAAATGAAGGGACTATAAAGTCTGGATTATCTGTTAAAAATTAAGGCAAAAAACCCCTTAGATGTGTACTGTTTGTATAAATATAACCTAAATATGTAAACAAAAGACTTAGAAACATTTAGCATTGTACGACAGGGACAAAGAGAAAAGGCAAATGTAGCCTGCATAGTGAAAATATTCGAGAAGTGTTGAAAGTCTCCCAAGAGAAAGTGTGCATGGGTCATCTTTATAAGTATTAGAGGGGCATAGCAGCAAGCCAGTCAAAACTGGCTGAGGACAGGGTCTACTAAACCTACATGTTTTCTTCCAGTCCTCTATGACCGTCAGAAAGAAGTTCTCAGTTATTGCTTCTATTTATCCAGTCGGCATTCACAAAATAGTACTTCCCTTGTTACTACAAGATTATATGCTAGTGTTTTCAAGGGTAGACTGAGCAGTGTTGATAAGTTCTGCTTTATGGAATGTACTAACCAATGTGAACAGATTACAGAGCTGCCACTATTACACCAGAAGCTTAGTGCTGTTCTGGAACAAACACAGGTTATTCAACCTACTCTGACTGAAAGAATAATTGAAGAATTTGAGAATAGCAGAACTAAAATTATTAGACTAGCACAAAGACTTTTTACTACTTCAACTCAGACTTTTCCACACAGGTCACTTTCACCTATAGAAAGGCTGTCTTTTTAGAGAAGAGCTTACTTGGTCCGTTGTGGCAATATTTTCAAATTGTACACCAGAAACTTTGATATAGTAAATGGAAATGAAGTTCCTAGTGCTAAATACTGACAATGTCCATGAAAATCAGAAAGTCCAGTGTAGTGGGTTGTCAATTTGTACAACATAGTCTTTATTTTCCCTGGGCAAACTTCTCCCACAGAAAAAACATTAACATAAATCATAAATCATCAACACCAAGTACAAAACAATAAAGAGTTAACCAAACCCTCTGGTCTCTTCCCAGACCCTAAGAGAGTACCCTGGCTTGATGGTGCCATCTCTAGCCTTACAGCCTTCCCTCTCTCTCCCATCCCTGGGAATTTTAACTTTCTCTGGGTCAGCTAATCATCCTCATCAGTTGGCCCAATCCTCCCAGGAAAGATGTAAACTCTTTCTTACTGCCTGCCACTTGGCTGTAGCTCCTGAGATAGGCACCCTGCTTCACTCCCCACCCTCCCACCCTCCAAGGAGTGGAGCACTCTTCCATTTCTTTATCCCCCCAGAACTCATTCTCAGAAGAAATATGCATTTGCATGTGCCACCCCCAGGCAAAGTCAAAAGGCTTCAGGGATAGCTACCATCTCATCACCAGGGGGTCAGCCTACCTCATGAGCCATGTAATGGGACGTGGCCCATGACCAACTGGAAACGAAGCCTTAGGCGATAGTAGTAGTAAAGGGTTTGTGTAACAAAGGCCAGCCTCAGGCGTGGCTGTGATACCCCCTGGCGGCTACTTAAAAGTACTGTTTCCTCCTGATTTTTAAGCATCCTCCTCTTCTGCTTTCCTGTCATGTCTTGATGTATATAAATACATATGCTAATATGTATTTAGGAATGGGAGGCTATGCCAGGGATCCCTGAGCTAGATCTCACTTACTCTAATTACTTGTTTCCTTAAGGGTTAATTCTGTGGCTTCCTCATCCCCCATTTTAGCCATGCTCAAGCCTCACAGATGTTACCAATTAATCAATTACCATCAGTAAGCTCCATGGACCCTCGACCCTAGCTTCAATCAACCTAATGGGCCCTCGTCCCCAGTCCATATCACTCTCTCTCAGTCTATCCCTGGGCCCTGGACTCTCCAGATCCATCCAGCTCAGCTCCTCTTTGTCCTTCCTCTGCCCTATTCCTGGGCTCCAGCCTTACTCCCAAGCCTCTGGCCCTGCTCCTGGGCCTATTGGAACCTCCACCTCTCCATAGAGCCCCCTAACCACCAATTGCTGGGACCTCCACTTCTCTTCCATCCTACCCTAAACCGTCAGTCTGGGTATCTATCCCTCAGTGATTTCTCTTTGTAGCGTGCTCAGAAGCAACTCTAACATCAGCTTGTAGGGCTAAACTGCTTTCCCAGTTCCGGCCCTAGGCTTATATAAAACCTAAGCCTGGCTCCCTTTTACTCAGGTGTCTCCCCTGAATGCTAATTGAGCCCTCACTGCAGCCTTTTTCTTCTTAAAGTAACAGGTGCCCTAAGTGCCCTGTTAAGTCTCTACTGCCCATTTATTTGCCCAAAACTCCTTTTCTATTATAGTATACTTCTGCTGCAAGGAAAGCAACTTCCTGCTTAGACACAGAATGGAGTGTATACAGGTCCATTAGTGGGGCTGTGATGTTAGCAAACTGTAGGATGAACTGCCAATGATGAATTCTAAGTCTAGAAATTACTTTAGTTGCTTGTCATTGTCACTGGCACTGACAACTGTCAAGGCCATTGCCTTGTCAACCAGGGCCCTGATTTTGCCATTGCCCAATACCCTAGGTATTTAGTTTCTGTGTATCCCAGGTGACATTTTCCCAGACTGGCTGTGAGCCAAGTTATACATCCAACTATGCCCAGCTGGAGGTAGATTGTCCATGTGTTTGCAAATATTACCACATCCTCTAGCTACATGGCTACATACACCCATTGTGGGCAGAATATTTTGTCCAATAATTGTTGGAAGTATGCCAGGACTCTCTATAGCTAATAAAATAAAGTCCGGAAGTGGTACAGTCCTCAGGTATCTGCAAGTAGCCTTTGGTTAAGTCTAAGTTGTATTGCCTATACCCTCTATCATTTAGTCCAGGGGTGGGCAAAATACGACACCCCTGGCCACATCCAGGCCACCAGGCACTTTCATCTGGCCCATGGCACCCCCCAATGAATTGTGCCCCCCTTCCCCTGGAAGTCTAGGGGTGAGGTACCCACATGTACACACCTCCAACATACCCTACTGTGCCTTGCTCCCACCCTCTTGGGTGGAAGGGCCCTGCTCAGCCAGCAGCAGCCTTTGGGTGGGGCTCCTGCTGCAGCTGCCCCATGGGAACCTGCTTGGCTTCCTGAAAATCCCACTCACTCAGGGAAGCAGATAGGGAAGAGGCAGGGCTGGTCGGGAGGTAGAGTTGTAGGTGGGCTGAAGTGCAGAGCACAGTGTGGAGCCCACGCCCAGGGGGGTGGTGGGCACACAGAGCTCAGCACGGTGCCTGCACCAGGCATGAGCGCCTTGACCTCCCTGCCTGCTGCTGCTGCTGGCAGCAGGGGCTGCATGGCATGAGGGGAGTGTGGGGAGTCCCTACATTCCCCAGCTTCCCTCATACCCCCCACCACACCTTTGCTCCACAACCCTCACCAACATATACATACACCCTAACATACCCTATGCCCCCTACACGGCACACCCTCTCACAACCCCCCAACATCTCCCACACCACCATACACCCACATGCATACACACACATGTCCTACTACACCCCCCACCCCCACACACC